AGGGGACATTGGGGCAGGGGAAAGTGGGAAGGGCTCCCATGATCTCCCTCTCCAACCTCTCCTTCCTCACCTCACCTTCCTCAGGCGCAGCAGGGATGGATTGCCAGGACATGAATGAGCTGCAGCAGGAGGTGATGGAGGAGCTGGGAATCTCCATGGAGGAGCTGAGAGAAATCATCGACAAAGAAGTGGAGAATTCCGAGTGGGTGAGGCAGAGGAAGCAGCAGCTGGAGGAGCTGGAGCAGTGCATGAGGCACAAGGAGGAGGAGGTGGCCCACGTTGACCAGCTCATTGACGATGCTGTGAGGTGTGTGGGAATTCTGAGGAGGGGAATTTGGGGGGGATGCTCCATTCCCTTCAGGGCAAACCCACGGGGTGGCTGCTTAATGAAGCACTGCCAACTTTCCCCCCAAGGCTTGAAACCCTTCCTGTGGATGCTTCCCTCAGCTGGCTAAGTGATCCTTGTCACTAGGGCAAGCAATGGTTCATTTCCAGATCCAAAAAGTGCAAAAGTCAAACAGCAGGGGACTGTCAGTTTAATCACAACAAATGCACCTTTATTCAGGGCCAACAACGAATGCGATAGAGGGATCAGGAAGGAAAGGAAATAAAGGATAGAAGGGAAAAGAGGGAAGGGGAATATAGCTACCAACAAGATGGAATCCTCATGGTCCAGCCACATAGATTTGCCTTCATCCATGGGTTCACCAAAGTAATCTCAGAAAGTTACAGTTTATGTAGTCTCAATCCAAAGTGAGTGGCATCTGGCCAAAAGGTGGGGAAGATTTATGGGCCATTGTGTCTGTGAAGCAGGTGTGAGCGTGCAAGGACAAGCCACATTGATCAGAACCTGTTTGGAGCAGTGTTCTGTGAAAGCACAGTGAGCACACCTGCAAACAATCACAATAACATCCAAAAACATCCACCTCAGCCAGGCCAGAGCTCCTGTTGGGCTCTTCAGGGGCCTTGTGAGGCACATGAAGGAAACTCCAGCCAGTCTCTCACACCCCCTCAGCGGTGTCAGGGGCAGCTCCCTGTGGAGTTCAGGGGGCTCAGCTGCTTTCCCTCCCCCAGGGCCATGGACAAGTGCGAGGTGCTGGCCAAGGAGCTGTACTCCATGATGGGCCTGCAGTACCGGGAGAGCAGCTCCGAGGACGAGGCTCCAGCGGCCACAGAAGTGATCGAGATCCCCGACGAGGAGGATGACGATGTCATGAGCGTGGACTCGGGCTGGAAACGCAGTTCAGTGTCCCCAGCAGGGCCAGGGGAAGGGTGGGGATAAGGGAATGCTCTTAGCTCATGGGGAACATCTGGCAGATCCTTTTTGTGTCCCAGAATTCCTGAAATCCTGGAATTCCTTGAGTCCCAGACTGGGATTTCACACCCTTTNGCAGGGACACACAGAAAATTGATTTTCAAACCTTTGAGATCTCCCAGGAGCCCAACATGAGGAACATTTCCCTCTCCTGGGTTAGATGGAATACCAGGACAGACCCTGAGGTTGGGCATCAGAAACTGGCACTGGTTTAGAGTGGGCACAGCCCCCCAAAAACCAGGGCAGAGAGAGCAGAGGGAGGGAAATCACAGGGAGATATTACAAGAATAAATTCTGAAGAATTCTCACAAATAATGTCAAGGGAAGAGCTCTGGCTTTATCACCCTTTGGGATTTCCAGGAAACACACAAAGATTCCTTCCCAATTTCTGTCTTCTCCCCATCCCAAACACTGAGGTGAATTTCTAAGCCCATCATGCATCCCATGAGGAACATTTCCCTCTCCTGGTTTAGATAAAATACCAGGACAGACCCTGAGGTTGGGCACAGGAGCTGGCACTGCTTTAGAGTGGGCACAGCCCCCAAAAACCAGGGCAGGGACAGCATAAACATGGAGATATTACAAGAATAAATTCTGAAGAATTCTCACAAATAATGAGAAGGGAAGACCTCTGGCTTTATCACTCTTTGAGATTTCCAGGAAACACACAAAGACTCCCTCCCAATTTCTGTCTTCTCCCCATCCCAAACGCTGAGGTGAATTTCTAAGCCCAACACAGATCCCATGAGGGAACATTTCCCTCTCCTGGTTTAGATGGAATACCAGGACAGACCCTGAGGTTGGGCATCAGAAGCTGGCACTGCTTTTGAGTGGGCACAGTTTCCAAAAACCAGGGCAGAGAGAGCAGAGGGAGGGAAATACACAAGGAGATGATGAGAAGAATAAATTCTGAAGAATTCTCACAAATAATAAGAGGGAAGAGTTCTGGCTTTATCACTCTTTGAGATTTCCAGGAAACACACAAAGATTCCTTCCCAATTTCTGTCTTCTCCCTATCCCAAACACTGAGGTGAATTCCTGAGCCCATGAGGAACATTTCCCTCTCCTGGTTTAGATGGAATACCAGGACAGACCCTGAGGTTGGGCACAGAAGCTGGCACTGCTTTAGAGTGGGCACAGCTCCCAAAAACCAGGGCAGGGACAGCATAAACATGGAGATGATTACAAGAATAAATTCAGAAGAATTTTCACAAATAATAAGAGGGAAGAGCTCTGGCTTTATCACCCTTTGGGATTTCCACAAAACACACAAAGACTCCTTCCCAATTTCTGTCTTCTCCCCATCCCAAACACTGAGGTGAATTTCTAAGCCCATCATGCATCCCATGAGGGAACATTTCCCTCTCCTGGTTTAGGTGGAATACCAGGACAGACCCTGAGGTTGGGCACCAGGAGCTGGCACTGCTTTGGAGTGGGCACAGCCCCCCAAAAACCAGGGCAGGGAGAGCAGAGGGAGGGAAATCACAGGGAGATATTACAAGAATAAATTCTGAAGAATTCTCACAAATAATGAGAAGGGAAGAGCTCTGGCTTTATCACTCTTTGGGATTTCCACAAAACACACAAAGATTCCTTCCCAATTTCTGTCTTCTCCCCATCCCAAACACTGAGGTGAATTCCTGGAGGAGTTTTCAGTCCCTGGGAGGAGGATGGAGCAAGGATTTGCTCCAAAGGAACAACAAAATGAGAGGAAACAGCCCCAGGTGGTACCAGGGCAATTTTAGGATGGGTTTGAGGGAAAATTCCTTCTCAGAAAAGGCTGCTCTGCAGTCACCATGCCTGGAGGTGTCCAGTGAAGAAA